GAGGTTGCAGTGAGCGGAGATCCCAACACTGCTCTCCAGCCTAGGCGACAGAGAGACTCCGTCTCAAAAATGAAAAAAAAATATTTCCTAGGATCCACTAGCCTTAAACTAACAGGTTAAAGGGCAATGTTATGAATGCTGTGCCCCTTGTATATACACATGTACAGAAAAAAAAGGTTGAAACGCTAGTGTTATCTATGATGATGATATAATGGCTGGTTTTACTTCTTTTCTTACATAATTATCTCATTTAATCCTCATTACCGTATCATACTGTTATTATCACTATCTTACAGATGAGGAAACTGACCGTGGAGAGGCAATGCAGCTAATAAGACGTGATGGTAGCAGGACTGGAATCCCAACTGTCTGACTCAAGAGCCTGCTCTCTTAACTACAACACACTGTACTGCACCCCTTAGATTCAAAATGTGTATAAATGGGTGCATGCAGCACAATGTAACTGTTTGCCCTAAGCTCGAACAATTACGGATTCTAAACTGAAGAGGAGGCGGCCAAGAACACCCACCGTCCCCTCAGAGAGCTGAAAACTGGAAAGAGAGGCTGCGCCTAACCCTCCCCGGTTTTCCAGGTCTCCTACAAGGAAGGCTCAAAGATTTGGACTTCAGGCAGAAGACCGAAAAGTCACAGCCACCAGAGGTCAGGAGTGGAGGGTTTCAGGGAGCTGAGACAAATGCAGAAGGGGACACACAAGACGCAGGGGGCAAGAAGCACGAAGCACGAGGCGCGGAAGCGAGGCGAGTAGGATGCTCAGACCAAGTGCCTGGGGTCCGGCGGGGAGTTAGACACACGGGGATACGAGGCCTGGACCACGTGCAGAGAGCCCTGAAGCCGCTCTATGAAGCCTCGACTCCCCCAAGTCCCCACGTACCGCATGAATCCCGTGTCCGTAGTGATTGTGTCCCCCGGCACCACTAGATGTTTCTTAGTGTCGCGACCCAGTCTCTCGCTAAGAGGCTTGCGAGCCGCTGGAAGCCTCATCTCCATCGCCATCTTGGCGCCAATCAGTTGCGCAGGCGCAGCTCAGCCGGGAGTCGCGATATCCGACTCCGCAACTCCTGGCCGCGTTCGGAGGGGCGGGGAAGGGCGGGGACTCAGAGCAGCTGCCAATGAGAACTCACAGCCTGGAGGCCATGTTTACAATTGGCAACACTAAGGCGAACCCGAAGGGAAGGGAGCCGAGCTGCCATGTTTACTATTGGCAAGGGAGCACCCGTGGAATAATACAATCTCACGTTGTGTGGGGTGTGACTTTTTACCAAAACTGTCTTGTACTCACCATCCCATTTATTGGTTACAAGGGTTAGCGATAATTGAGAAACGGACCTATGAGTTTCTGTCCAATTCTAAGCTGCTGAAATCCGGTATTTTCTAAGAGAGAGCTCAGGAGGATGGAGAAATGAGATCTACAGAAAACACTATTTGAACAGAGAGAAGAGCCCCTGTCCACACGGTTCCTAGTAGCCCCAGTATTCTACATTGCTGCCGCCCCGTGGGTGCTGGCTCAGCATCATCATCTATACCTCCAAACCGGGCTCCAGATACTTCTCACTTGGTTCTGTTCTTTCATAAAGACTTCTTTAAGCAAGCTAATTTACTCCAATATTTCTGTTGGAAACAAGTTAAAAATCGTCTAACAATATAGGTCAAACCTTGCATGCCAGGTATATTTGGTAGGGAAGGGAAGTGCACACATAATACGAAGATGGCTTGCATTTAGTTACACAGCGAGTTGAGCGCTCTGTGTGTGCCAGGCGCTGTTCTAAGGATTCAGCAGGGAACAGACAGATGTCTCTGTGGGTTTTGCTGGGGCTCCGTTTTAATAGGAGCGTACCCCTCGCCCCTTCTCCCGTTTCCCACTACCGTCTCCCTCTCCTTGCCCTGCATTCACAACAAACTAATTGGGGATGGTAATTCCCCATGCACAGGGACTCTAAAGAGGATTAAATGAAATCATTTACATCAACTGTGGTCAGAAAAGCAGGTAAACCAAGTCTGCCTCCTGAAGAAAGATCCATCGAACCAATTGTTTTATAAATCTCCAAAGCGACAGCATTTCTTCCACTTAAGCAAGGCGCACGACCACACTTAAGAAAGTCAGCCCTGCCAGGCAGTCCGTGACGTGAATGCTAGTGCCCCAAGGCCCTAGGTAAGTGGGCGGCCAGACCCTCGCCCTCCGCCGTGCTTGGAGGAAGGCGCTAGAGCCCAGCCCCTTGGTCCAGTCCTGCCGCGGCCATAAGAGGGCGATGGTGTCCTTTGAGCCCGCGTAGCCCGGCGGCCAGGAAGCCAGGCCCAGCGAGCGGCCCTAGGCGGAGCGAGAGTGTAGTCCTGACACCATCCAAGTTCTTCCCGGGAGGGAGAGACGCGCATTCTCACAGCGTTCACATTCACGGAGCCTGTCGCAAGGTTGGCATTGTGGATACCAGTTTATGGAGGAGGAAATCGAGGCCCCAAAAGGAATGGAATTCACATTAGCAGATGGCAGCAAAGCCGATGTGTGTTGCAGCTGCACGCGATTTACCCCAGAGCCTGCACCCTTCACCAAACATAACCCGAGTGCTTCGGCTAGTCCTTTGCTGAGTGCTTTACAAATACTATGTTATGTATTCCTCACTTTCAGCCCATCTTCGAGGTAGGCATTGCTATCCCTGATGATCACTTGGGGGCACCGAGCCCCCCAAATAGACCTGTAGCTGGGACTAGAATCCAAAACGGCAGACTCCCCTTCCCCCATCCTCTTTCTGCATCATCACACGCATCTTTCTTTCTTTCTTTCTT